AAAGAAAGAAAGAAAGAAAGAAAGAAAGAAAGAAAGAAAGAAAGAAAGAAAGAAAGAAAGAAAGAAAGAAAGAAAGAAAGAAAGAAAGAAAGAAGAAAGAAGGAGGGTTGAAACACTACCCCCCCCCAAATGTTATATATTTGAAACAATTTTGGACAGAAAGGAGAAAGCAGAGAAATGACAAACCCACTCAAATATAAACGCTAAACTTGGTTTTGGATTTGAAATAAAAAGCAAACACTCTGAAAGATTTATTCTGTTTGAATTTTTTCCAACTAATATATCTTAACTCCCCCTCCTCAAAAAAAAAAAAAGCACTTCTTCTTACTGATAACTGATAGCCTAACTTTAACTGTGCAGGAAGTTTTAATTAACCAACTGCCATAAATTAGAACTTGGAAAAGTAGGAGGCAGAGAAATACCCAAATCTGGCTGATCTCAAGTTTGTTGCAAGTGATATATTATGAGCAGCTAAAAGCAACTGGACTGGTAAGGGAAAGAATAATAACAGAATAATAACGGAATCAAAAACTGGGAAATGCAAAGGGATTTTTTTTTTTTGCTTGGCAAAAGATTAAGATGGCCTCAGCTTCTCTTCCGGTTTGAATTTAAGGTGGACCAGAATCTCAAAATAAGATTTGTATAACTAACTGCAATTTTGGAACTGGACATTAAGGGAGAACAAAAGACTAAGATTGCCCCCATATTATTTCCCCACAGCCACTGAAGCAGATAAGCTTAAGGTGGAAAGAACTCTGAAATAAGAACTGCATAACTGTATAACTAACTATAACTTTAGAACTGGACATTATGGAAAACTGGGAATTTGAAGAACTACAGGAAATAATAAAAAATATGCATAAATCAGTAAAATCATTAAAATCAAGCCTAAATAGAATTCTGAACCCAGAGAAGCAGATATCTAAAGAAGAATTCAAAGAAGAAAGGGGGCATGGCAGCAAAGGAGTAGAATTGGAGGAAAATAAAAAGCAGACAAAAAAACTCCATAGGTCTTGGCAGTGGTATAGGGAAAACTGTAAAAAGAAGAGATGTCTCAACAAAAGGGGAAAAAGCAGATAAAAGTGGTTTTGGAGGTTGCTAATGGCATAAGGAAAATGGAAGTCGGAGATTATGCTCCAACAAAGAAAATATAAAATATTCTTTTGATGGTGACCTGGGGAAAATTGAAGGGAGTGAATGTGTCAAAATAAAGAAAAGTGAGAAGACAAGAACAGAGAAGTGGGACAAAAGACTTACTAGGAAAAAAAGATAACTAGAAACTATTATGTGGGAAAATATAAACTTAAGATAAGGGTTTTATTCCTAAATATGATAATAAAATAGAGTTGCTGACTGGTTGAATATGATAATGGAAAGATAGATAAATAAAGGTTAAAATATATGGAATATAGATAAATATGAAACTGATATGGGGAACTTGTAAAGCAGAGGTTTGTGATCCACCTTTTTAACATCATAATTAAATTGAGTTGCGAGTTGAGTGAATATGACAATAGAAGCATGGGTCAAAATATATGAAACACAGAGATATATAGAACTTTTAAGATGATAACAAAGTGAGATGTTTACCGCTTGTTATTTTATATAATACATTAAGGGAAGTGTAACAAACATTGAACAGCAAAGATTGTCATCTAGAGACAATTAAAGGTAATCTAATCCAAGGTATGGGAAAATGGAGAGGGAACATGAAATATACTTACAATGGGAAACTATTGTGATAAAAAGACAGAATCACAAATTGGGAGCATGTAAGAATGTATAATTATATAAAGATAATGATGAGAATAGTTGTGAATTGTAACCAGGTCAACCAATATTAGGTTGGGGGGAGGGCTAAAAGCACAATGACTATATATGTATACTTTTCTGTTATATCATTTGTTTTTTTCTAAAAAGGAGAAGAAAAATTAAATATGTACTGTATATTGAAAAGGAATTATAAACACCATCAACATAAAATGGAGCTCGATCAGAAGCTGAAATACACCAAGTAAATGAGATGAAGAGTGGGAAGTAGAGGAGAAATGTAAGGAAAGAAGAGAGGGATAGGAGAGAGAGAAAGGGGAAGAAGAGGAGGAGAGAAATGAGGAGTGGTAAGGGGACGGAGGAGAAGGAAAGAGGAAGGGGAAATTGAGAAGGGAAGGATGACAGAGGGAAGAAAGGGAGTAGGGAGGGGGAGGAGAGAGGGAGAAGAAAGTGATGGATAAGGTACAAATATGGTGTATGGAGAGCAGAAGAGCCAATAATTGTTTTTTTGGGAATTGTTGGTAAGATGAATTAATGTAAACATTTAATAATACAATATGATGTTGGTTATGTAATAGTATACATGTGATTATATGTTATGAAAATGAGAAAATTAAAAAAAACATTTAATTTTAAAAAAGATCTGATGGTCTGTAAGAAATGGGCCTTAGGGAAGCAAGTAAAACAGTAAGCAACAATATGGGAAAGACAGTAAGGTGTGATAGCCAAGTGGAAAAGAGTGTGTGTTTTTTTCCTTTTCTGAACTGAAGGAATTTTTAAAACAGCAGTGAAAATCTGCACATAGGTAATGACAATAAATATAAAACAACCGAGTGCTAATTTAGAACCGAACAACATAACTCCAATTTCAGTTATGTATGATCCAATGCAGGCAATCATAAGTAAATATGGAATTTTATAATAAAACTGATGGATAATATCAAAGCAAAAAGGAATAATGAAATTTTCAACAGTGTTCATTAAAGAATTGAGAAAGAAATCCATGCACAATTAATCATGTTGGTGCAGGCTGTCCTGTTTATTATTATTTCATATTGTAAAGGATTACAACATACCAATCATAGGCTATGAAAATCAAGAGGGCCACATGATAGCCCATAAAGAAAACAATCAAGAAGACTTGAATAATACATTGTTAATAACAAATGTGTCTTGTATTTGTAAGGTAATTAAAAATGGATTTGGGAATAATGAGTGAAACTGAACCAATGTCTTGTATGGTTAAATTCATCAGAAAGAAGTACATAGGGATGTGAAAACTACTGCAATGATGATTAAAAGTTTCCCTGTTAATATCATTAAATATAGCATCAATAATGAAGCTATAGTACATATATAATCTATAGCCGCCAAAGCTTTGAGAATTCTATGGGGAAAAATTGTGTGATTATGCATTTTTAATCATGAGAATGTTATCCCTAGAAAAAAGGAAACAGAAATTAAATATTTTTTGTTCAATTCCTTTGAATACCTATGATTAGGATCTTTCAGTGTTCCATAATTGTTCATTAATAATTGTTCATTAGGGAAAGATAAGTGAAACAGACAGATTTTTATTAAGTCTCATAGCACTCAATTTTCTGCTTCCCAAAATATCTGTCAGCATTCTCTATCTCTGAATTATTTCTGTCAAACTTTCTCTTTCCATCATTTGAATTGCTTCTCTCAATAAATTTCAGTATAGTTTATAATACATTTTTGTTTTTAAAAAAGCAAAAAGCAAAAAGAACTTTGGAAGGTCAAAGATCAAAATGCAGAAAAAGGGAAATTGGGAAAATCATTCCTCTGTTTAAGGTTCCTATGGTTTGAACATTGTCGAATTCAGCCATATTGAAATACTTATACCCTCTTGTTTTCTATTATATTGTGATTATAAATTACTTTGTAAACCATTTTATTTTTGACATCTAGCTACATAAAATGTATATTTCAACTGCTGATGGAGCACATTTTTGCTTACTCTCCCAGGAAAAAATAACATCACTAAAATGTGTTCTTTAAAAATCTGTAGGTCTGGAAATAAACTCCATATGCTACTATATCTTAATCCTATCATATGAAAGGTAGAAAGGAAGTTCTCAAGATTTGCTTCAATCCAGAGCCTATGTAGGCTGCTTATAGATTTAACAATGAATCTTCAGATAAACATTTGGAGATCATTTACAATACATCTAAGGGTAATACGTAAACATCTTAGAACATATTTCATATTTTATTTTGTAGGTCAGTGATTAAATATCAATACAGTTATTGAAAAATTGAAAAGATGATTTCATGACCCATACTGTATCTTTATTTTACTAGATGCTTAGAGAGTATATTGCACAAATGCTCTTAGAGGGTGGAATGGGGCCCTATTCTGAGTCTATTATTAGGAGAAATCTTAATAGACCCTTTTCAGATACATTTGCTTGAAGATTCTTAAAAATGAGGTCCAAAATGCATATTTCATATTTCGGACAACTAGGAACTGAAAGTTTCTGCTGATTAAGCAAATTCATTATGCCATGCTGTTCAATGAAATTAAACAAAGACTTAAAATCCAAATTTCATGCTTCCTGTGTTAACAAATATACAAACAGTGCTTAGAATTTCTTGTGTTTTTCAGATCTCACATTCCTTTGAGTTCTACCCATTTTTCTCTTCAGACAATGTAGAACTGTGATGTCAATTTCCTTTGGCCATGTTGAAACACGCATTTAAAATTCACAATAATACAATGATATTTTCAAACATCTTATTGACACATGAGAGAGGCAAATGATGCCATNAAAAAAAAGAAAGAAGTTGAGCTTCCTTCCAATGCCATCTGTGGTGATTTGGTGCAGCTGTTTAGCCTCACTGAACTCAAAGCTGTTTGGCATCCCCAGGGCCTTTTTCTTTTAGAAGCCATCATGCCACCCAGGCCTGGAGCTCCAGTCAACCCGCGTTCCCTTTCGTTTCCTCCCTCCCTGCCTTCTTATAACGCCACTCAGTGGCCACTCAGGAGGCCCCATCCTGGCCTTTTCCCCAGCAGGCCTTCTTCCTCTCAGGTAGGGAGATGCCATCACAACTGCAGGGCGCGTCTTCAAATGCTTCTCCATCTCCATCTTCCCTTCTTAGAATACCAGCAAGAGAGAAATGTCTTCTTCTGCTCTCTCTTTCCGCCTTCTACGGCTGGGCACGATTGCTCCGAGTCCCCCAAATGAAGGGCAGCCAGGCCGCTCCAGATCACCCGAAAGCACCTCAGAATCTTAAACACTGGGGGGGGGGGGATGGGGGGGGAGAAAGAGAGAGCCACTTACTCTGTGATTTCTTCTGTCACCGTGTGCTCAACCTGAAGCCGGGAATTGACCTCAATGAAGTAATGCTTGCCATGTCTGTCCAACAAGAACTCCACCGTGCCAGCATTTTCGTATCCAACCTGCAAAAAGGAGGCAGTAGGTGGGCTTCAGTAGCACATACAGAAGTTTCATATATGAATACGGGCAACGCTCCATGTTCCAGGCTAAAGGGAACGTTACTCACTAGAGGAAGAGGTTCTGACAGAAATCTGTGGTGCAGGCTGAGATGAATTCCACAAAGTGGAATTTTTCTCTTCAGCAGTTCAGAACAATGTTGGCAGATGGGGGGAGGAAAGGAGGGGGAAAGCAGGGCTACCGCTTGCTCAGAACAATTTGCACACAAAGGAGTCAGATCTGAGCAGGCCGTGAAGATTCTCCCATTTGCCAAACTGACCCAGGAAAGCGGATCTCCTGTTCTCTGCCCAAAAAGGCCAGGAACAAGGACTGGGGAATCCCACCCCTTTGCTCAGGGGCACCACTCCTCCCCGCTCCCCCCCTCCCCAAGTGGCTGGGCTGCTTGCCGTCCCTCACCTGTTTGGCGAGGCGGACGGCGTCAGCAGTGAGTTTGGAGCGCAGCTGGGAGTCGAGGTGGGCGGCAGGGGCAATTTCCACCACTTTCTGGTGCCGTCGCTGGATGGAGCAATCCCTCTCATACAGGTGCAACACATTCCCATGCTTGTCACCTGCCGAGGAGGAGAAACCGGGCCAAAGATGAAGCTGGGCCAAGGCGGAGGCTCCCTCCCTGCCTGCTGGAGTGCAGAGAGCAGGCCTTGGCAGAGAGCATTCCTCGGCAGGATGGGCCCGCCTGACTTCCACACGGGCACTGCTTATATCGAAGAAGGAATTCCCTGCCAATCCCCGCCATCCTGTTCCTTTATTAAAAGCTGCAACTTAATCACTCAAATTATTAAACTCATAGATTATCTGGCCAGTATATTTCTGTAGTCAGAAGACTTGGTATAAATAAGTTATTTACTTTTCTAGTCAATAACCATAATAAACATGCCTTGTTTCTTTTTTGCTATCAGCAAAATTAATCTTCTTCTCATATACTGTATTTTTTGGACTATCAAACGTACAGGAGTTTAAGACGCACCAAGATTTTGAAGAAATAATTTTTTTAAAAAAGTTTTTGCACTCTGCAGGCCTCCCAACCCCTCTGAACGCACTTGTTTTTTGTGGAAAACAGGGCATGCATAGGCTTTGGGAGGCTTGTAGAGTGCTCCTGGGGGCTGGTGGGGGAAACAACCGAAAAAAGGCCTGCTTTTCATGAAAACAGGCCCGTTTTTTTGCAAAAAACAGGGCATGCATAGGCTTTGGGAGGCTTGTAGAGTGCTCCTGGGGGCTGGTGGGGGAAACAACCGAAAAAAGGCCTGCTTTTCATGAAAACAGGCCCGTTTTTTTGCAAAAAACAGGGCATGCATAGGCTTTGGGAGGCTTGTAGAGTGCTCCTGGGGGCTGGTG